GAATATAATATACTATATAGTATATAATATAGTATAGTAATGTTAAAGTATAAAATTATTTTATGTATATTATATAGTATATATCATACTTTTTTTTTATTTAAATAAAAAAATATTAAGTCGAAACCGTATTCAGCAAATACGGTTTACAATTAAATCTTATAGCACTAGTACAGAAAACACATTCTAGGGGTCACTTTTTATATCGGTTGGAACATAACCGATGTATAAAGTAAGACGGTGGCATTTTTGTAATAAAACTATTGTTATGTATATGTGGTTTCTAGTAACCCCATATACAAACTCAAGGCTTATCAAAATTAACATCGGGTTGGGGTCCGCCACATATAAAATATAAATTATCTATATGCGATAAAACCACCCTATATAAAATTTGTACTTTCTATAGCATTTAAAAACTCACCACATACAAATAGTGAATACATCACATTCGTACAAATTTATCATATTTACAATCATATTTCACATAAAGTAATTCATCACTTAGGTTAAACAAAATTGACTCTCCAGTGACTATTCATTCCCGCTTCTCTGTCTGCGCGCTTCGACCTTTCACTTCCGCGCGCCGTGAAATTCCAACCCCCGCCTCCGTCTTTCCAGCCCCACCTCTGCCTCCGTACGCCGTGAAACTATTCGGTTCCATCCTTCAATTCCGTCAGTCTGCCGTGAAGTTCCAGACACCGCTTCCGTCCGTCGATATGAATTTCCAACCGCCGCCCGTCTTTGTAGCCCTGCCTCCGCACGTCGTCAACACGTTCGCTTGTAGCCCTCTCTTTCGACGGTCGTGAAGTTCTAGCCCCCCGATTCCGTCCGCCGTGATGTTCCAGCCCTTGTTTCCGTCCGTTGTGAATTTCTAGTCCCCGCCTCCGTTGAACACATTTTGCCTCTGCCACCGGCACTGCCGACACACCAGACATTCGTTGTGAGTTTCCCTACTGTCTCAATTCTCTGCATACATTAATTTTTTTCAAAATTGTTTTTGTTCTGTGCCTAGTTATTTCACCAAATTACTACAGTTTGATAATATTTTGAAGTTACTATATGGACACATGTTGTTAGTTACAAGATATTATATTATATGAATGGTTTTATTGCTTCATGAGTTCTGGTGATGTCTAGTTGGTTTTGTTATTTCATGAGTTCTGGACCATATCCAGCTATTGTTCGTGCAGTTACTGTAGGAGAAGCATTGATTGAATAGCCAAGACAGTGAATTGTTTATTGTTGCCTGTAGGAGAAGCATTGGTTGAATAGTTCATGAAATTTGTGCTCGTAGTTTATATAAATTAGTTTGTTAATTGAGAATATCCAAGTGAATATAATAAATTTGTTAATTATTAATATTATTATGTGAATTTATGGAGGACTTTATGCCCGTCTATAACCTATTTGCAATTGAATATTAAACTTTAAAATTGGAATTCATACAGGATCATTTCTGTTAAGTTTATAGGATTATATCTCGATATTATTTTGCAGCAGTTCTGTTATATGGGTTTTTAGTGGCTCAGCTATGTTTACTTGTGCATGCAACTGGAGAAAAGAAGAACAAAAAAATCTCGTATGGTTGTATACTATTGCCCTTGAAGAAGTCGGGTGCAATGTTTTGGAGATGTTTGCTGTTGTTTTCGAGGGCGTGTCTTACTTCGTGTTATTTCTCAGTAAAAATTGTTGAATGCCATCCTCGAGCATTAGCATGTTCACGAAAAGATATAGTTATCCTTCATTGTTATAACACACCATTGATAGTGGTTTTCAATATACAATAAACCTTTTTGTGTGTGTTATTATTATTATTTTATTTAGTTATATAATTTTATACACACAATTTATGCTGACTACATTTTAAACAATACTTTGATTGTGTGTATCATTTTGGATCAACTAGCTAGCTCTGCCCAAGTTGGTTTCTGAGTATTTATTACAGTTCAATATTTTTGTGTGAATTTTATCTGAGAACTTGTGAATTGTGAATGTATATAAATAAAAAATGTGACCCCATTTTGATTGTGCTAAGCTATCTAGTCAGTCGAGAGATATAAGAAGGGTAGTTGGCATTTGTGGGCTTTTACTTTTCTTGCTGCTTGTTTTACTGAATTTTTATTAGCTTGCAAAAATTATTGCACTTTCTTCATTTTAACTTTATTTATTTTCAGAAGCCACAGTTGATACATATTAATGCTATGATAATCGTTTGATAAATAAAATTTGCATTTGCATTATTGTGAACACCACAAAGGTCCTTGCTATATAGCTATACTGTCATTTAGTTTTAAACAAATGCAAAGACCTTGCTATATAGCTAAACCAACCTCGACACCAATACCAAGAAATCTAAAAAGATAAAATATATAAAAAAAGGAAAAGGAGTTGTTGCTAATGTTCTGTAGTTGGCTAACTTTTATGGAAGAAAAAAGGGATTTAAAAAAGACGGAGAATTATTTGTTTTGACTACTCTCCCTATAATATTTTATTTTGAGTATGATTTTATCTAACTAATGCAAATTCTTGTATATAAAGTGGTGAGTCATATGGTATGTGTATGTATCTGCTTTCTATTTTTCTCTTTAATTATAATATCTTCATTTATATTATAAAATTAACATAATTATTATAGGGAGTTATGGATCATACATGGGTCAATGCTGTGCGTACAAGTAGCGAATATGAGAATGGAGTGGAATACTTTTTGGAGTATGCTAAACAACATGTTTCCATTAATAATGGAAAATTTTTTTGTCCTTGTGTGAACTGCCTAAACGATCGACAATTATCTATTGAAGAAATTTGGGAACATGTCCTTTGCGATGGTTTCAACCAGAGTTATACGCGGTGGATTTGGCACGGTGAATTTGTCATGCCTAATGTATCCCAAGACGAACAAATTGATGTTGGTGATGCAGATATGTATGATCGGGTGGAGGACATGATTAATGATGTGGGAGCAGAGGCGTTTGAACAAGCACATATGAACAGAGTTTGCGAGTCTTTGTCTACTGAAGCAAATAAGCCACTCTACAATGGTTGTAAAAACTTCTCACGTTTGACTGTAGTATTAAAACTAATCAACTTGAAGGCGACGAATGGATGGAGCGATAAAAGTTTTACAGAGTTGCTACGCTTGCTTCAAAATATGCTTCCCGAGGATAATAAATTGCCTGATTCTAATTATGAGGCCAAAAAAGTATTGTGCCCTTTAGGCTTGGGGTATAAGAAGATTCATGCGTGTCCTAACGATTGTATTTTGTACAGAAATGAAAACAAAAGTCTTCAGGAGTGTCCAGTATGTGGGGTTTCTCGTTTCTCGTTTCAGCAAATACGGTTTCTATAGAAACCGTATTTGCTTAATACGTTTTCTGTAACATATAACAAAAAAAAAATGGTGTCTTCTTCACAGAGAAGACGAGAGAGCGAGAGCAGAGCAGCGAGAACACACAGCAAAAAAAAAAATCCGCATCCACCGCAAGCCGCGCCACCGCCGCCACGCACCACCGCCGCCGCGTCACCACCGTCTCGGCACCGTCAACTGTAAATCTCTTTGTCAATTAGGTAAATGGCCTAAATTTTTTTTAATTTTTTCAACAAATACAAATTTTTATAATACGTTTTTAGGTTAGGGTTGCTTGAAAATTTGATGTTTTAAAGTTAGGGTTACATTTAAGGTTAGAATTAGGGCTTGATTTGAACGATTGTTTGAATGAGGCTTGCAATTAGGGTGTAGGGAATTTTTGAAATTAGGACATTAGGGTTTGGATTTAGAACTTCGAATTAGGACTCGAAACTCTAATGTTGTTGAAATTGTGAAATTGTGAACTATTGTGTGAACTTCGATTTTTCGGAATTAGGACTCCAATTAGAACTTCAAATTGTGAAATTGTGGACTCGATACTCTAATGTTGTTGCCTTGGACATATGTTGAAATACTTGGTTTTTGGCTATTGTTGTGAAGTGTTTTTGTTAATGTTATAAGCATCTAAATTGTAAACAATATATTACCATTGCTCTTGATCACTATTGATAATCCCGATTGATAATCCCGTTCTTGATCAGTATTGATAATTGTAAACTTTAATTTTTACTAATTAATGACAATACGTCCTCTTTATTTAAATTTTTGAGAAAAAATTTTCTTTCATACCATCTAATTTATATAGAATTCATAACTAAACATCAGGCTATCATTAATTTAATAAATATTCTTAATCCTAATATTTTCTTTTTTGTATTGTTTGTAGATAAATAACTTCATCGTCCTCCTCACAGCCTCAGCAGTACAGTGTCCATCCCGGTCTGAGGATGGCACTCTTCTATATCTCCAGTACCGCCACCGGTCACAGGCGGTATTTGATAATGCGCCGGGAGCTCGTGACACGAAGCTCACAAACCTCCGTTTCGGCAGTCAGTTCTGGGAGGCTTTGTCAAGCCAGCCACGGTCGGTTTGAGAGGTCATCGACCGGACTAGTTTCGGACCCTTATTTCGAATGGGTCGAATCCAAGCCAACAACAGCCTCATTACTGCTCTCGTGGAGAGGTGGCGCCCAGAGACGAATGCCTTCCATTTCGATTTCGGCGAGGCCACCATCACGCTCCAGGACGTACAAGTCCTGTTCGGTCTGCCTATCATTGGAGCTGCTGTTGTGGGAGTGACTACAGATCTATCACCCTTACAGTGGCGAGAGAGGTGCAAGGACTTGCTAGGGTTTGAGCCCTATGTTCAAGTATATTTTTTCATAGAATTTTTTATAAATATATGTCAACTCAATTTTATCATTTTTAATATGGAAAAACCACTCTCAGGATCCTCCCACCACCGAGGCAGAGCAAGCAGCACAGGATCCAAAGTCTTGGGACATTAAAGGGCAGTATCTGAATGATGGAGGGTTAGAAGAGTAATACAACCGTGTGTTGCAAGAAGGAGAACCGGACATCGTGTACGAGCGGAGGGCGAGGGCCCTTATCTTCTGGTTCATTGGGTCCTTCATGTTCCCCGACCAGCGGGCGAATGGCGTTCCACTTTACTGGCTCCACCTGCTGGAGGACATAGATGCTATTAAGGGGTACAATTGGGGTTCAGCGCTCCTGGCCAGAGTATATAGAGCGTTGTCAACCTCGTACAAGGCCAAGGAGAAGTGGATCAAGAACTGCGTTCAATTGATCCAGGTAAATTTATTTAATTGTTATTTGAAAATTTAATATTTTATTTTTTCTTACTTCGACTAATACCTAATAACAAAGTTAATATCCATTTGTGTAGGTTTGGTCATGGGAGCATATCCCTCGTATTCGCCCAATAGTGAAGACCATGTAGGTTTGATAATCTGTCTGATTGTCCATTGGGAGCAAGGTAATCACCTTTATTTCTATTTAATCCTTACATTATTTTCATTATCAAATTTTGTGGTTACAAACTTTTTTTTCTGTGATTTTTAAGGTGGGTGGGACCGAAAAATAAGTCAAACATAGCCAATACCTTGGTCGCCTACCGGGATCAGTTGACAGGGCTGGGAGAGTGATGTAATATTCTTAATTCCTATTGCTTGATTTATCTTTCTTTTTTTGTTTTAACATTTGTAATAACTTAATTAGTAATTCAATTGTTATTTTTTTTTACAGTTCGATTGGCAGCCCTATCGAAACCACCTGGAGGATGATACTCTCCCGGATGCATGCCAAAAGATCCACAGTTTTGGATGTACCGGGGGTGGATCTTCAGTTGGAACACCCGGGAGGTACACCTGCCTGATAGGGTCCTCCGTCAATTTGGGTGTCACCAGTCCATCACCCAAAATTCGATTATTCAGGATGAGCGAGACTGGGACACACACCACAGAGGTCAGGGGATGACTGGGAGGGGATTTTATGATTGGGCCGCATTCCATGTACCGTTTCTGAGCTCGTGGACCGAAGAAATAGAACAACGTCTCCTCTCAGTTGCCCCTGTGTACGACTATCTGCAGTCGGAGCAGGGTTACCTTGAATGGTTTCACAACAGGAGTGTAAGATTCATCAATAACCCTGCCAATTACCCGGTGTTCCAATAGGCGGGCGGGTATCAGCCACTTGACGAGCGATTAGGCTGTCAGGTAAGTGTTCATTATTTGTGTTTATTATTATTATTATTATTATTATTATTATTATTTTGGTGTTTCATACTAATTATTATGAATTTTATTTACAGACTTCTGCACTACAAGGGGTTTATTTACAGACTTTTGCACTACAACAGTCGTACAACTTTGCCTTCTCTTCTCTGACTGTTGGGGGCCAGGGTGTTCCACATGGGGGGCCGTCCAGTCAATTTTTCTCCCTGGACGAATACATTCGCCCCATGAGGACACAGTCATACACGGCCAGGCATCAACCCGCCCCCAACATTGGTGGTGGTAGAAGACCTCGGGCCCGTCCCCGCGCTCAGCCGTCCGCCCAACACATCCAACCTGAGCAGCCCGAGCCTCAACAAGGTGAGATTTTTAAATTAACAATTATATACTGCGAGTGTTCACACTAGGGGCGGTACCGTAATTACTTCGTTTGTTGCGTTCACACTTAAAGAGTTGGTTAATTACGGTACCGCCCCTAGTGTGAACACTCGCAGTATATAAGCAATTTTTTTTTCAGTCCAATTTATGATTTCTTTTTTCAATTGAATTACTCAGATGAAGAAGATGAAAATGCGCAAGCTTTTCAAACTGACACGCTTCTCACACCTCAACCTTCGTCTTCTTCTCAAATGGTATATACTCGGAGGGGGTCCAGACCGCGCAAGCCTAGGGCTCCATACACTCCTTCCTAGTTAGTTGTGTTGAATTCGTGGATTTTGTGTTAATTTTGAATTGTTGGATTGTCTGTATAAACCAAATTATATCGTTTTGTATATATTGTTTGTTCAACAAATTATTGTGTTTCATTTGTTTGTTTATAGTGTATGTTGGATTATTATTGGGCGAATATGTTGATATTAGTTGCTCGAACAGGTGTATTTGGTTGTGAACAGGTGTATTTGGTTGTCAAATGATCTCTAATAGAATTTTTGCTAAAGCCTGCACAGTAAAACGTATTTTCATAATATGTTTTTATTTTTTTTAACAGAAAACGTATTTCAAGAATACGTTTTAACTGTGCAAAATTAGGGCAAAATCAACTTGGAGCTAAAATTAGGGCAGCAAAATCAATTTGGGGCAAAATTACGAGAAAA